GTTTTACAGAAGGCTGGTGGAACTGATGGGTGGGATTAAGGAGCTATAGGGCATGACATTATTAAAATATAAAGGGTTACCCAGACTTTAGCAGTCTGGCCTTCCTACACACACACACTCTCTCTCTACATACACACACACACACATACACACATTTTTTCATGGTTAATAAAATAGGTACTAATTCCATTTGAAGTAGATTGACTTGGACAAAGGAACAGTGTGTGGGAAACTGAAGTAGTAAATAGCAGAGTATATGGGACATGGACTCTTGAGTGGTTGGCTAAATGAATGGAAGCATGTGATTGACAAGACAACTGGTGACTTACTTGAAATGAATGGCCAGAGGGCTGAGGGATAGCTGTCTGTAATAAAACCCCGTGGAAAGAGGGAAGAAGGGCACAGATGGAACAAACGAAAGGGGTTTTGAAAGATTGGCTGGCTTCTTGTGGGAGGGAATGATGTGGATGATGCCCCAAGCTGTCCTGTCACCATTACCGAGTCCTGAAATCGTCTCACTTACTGGGACAGGTCAGCAATGGAAGCTGATTTATTGCTTTTTTGTATGAAATTGACCTGGTCCCACTAGGAGAGCATGTTTGTGATGGAAGGTTAACTGTGAAAGAGAAAACAGCACCTTCTTGAAGTGCAGTCCAGAAATGGCTGCCTTGCTGTCCCCAAAGTCCAGCAATCAGAGACAATGTGGACTACAAACTATAGATGCAAAAATTGAGAGCGGATGGGGGTGGTGAGCATACAGTATATACACTGTTTGCATGTTGTGAGGTCCAGCTGCTATGGCAAGGATCATAGCACAAGGGCAGTGTACATGATTTGCAGAAAGACTATTCCAGGTTCAAGTCAAGGCATATCCAGGTAGGACTAAGAAGAAAATCTAGTTTAAGAAAATGCTAGTCAGTACTGAGCAAGAAAGACTAATGGTTTGATTCAGTAATAAGATCCTTATGTTCCTAAATTCTCTGATTGTGGGGGTATATGCATACATATACCTTCTTATGTGCAAAGGATGGGCACTATAGAACTGTTTTAATAGCCAATGCTTTTCCTAGGAAATCTTTGGGAACTGTGGTTGTGCCAAAGGGCTATAACAACTAAGTCTCAGCAAACTACAGTTCCCAAAATTCTTTGAAGGCTGCCATGACAGTTGGAACTGGTTTATAATGTGGATACATCTCAAAAGTTTAGGTCACAATTATGTAAGCAATTAAGAGAATTATCAGCACATGCCTTGCATAGATGTGTTGGTTTTGTGTGCAAATGCACAGGCTTCACACTTCTGTGTGTTGCCCACTGTGAGAACATTGAGAGTGAAGCAATGTATCTGTTACCCAGACATGAAAGCATGCTCTCTCTCTTTTCTCTCTCTTCAAGTAAAATCCTCAAGGATGCATGCATACCAGGCATGGGTAAACTTTGGCCCTCCAGATATTTTGGACTTCAACTCCCATTATTCTTAACAGCCGATTGGCTGTTAGGAATTATGGCAGTTGCAGTCCAAAACACCTGGAGGGCCAAAGTTTGCCCATGCCTGATCTATACTATATAAAACTAAGCCAGCAATAAGCCAAATTAATAGCTGTGAAAGGACTTCTGATAACTGTTATTTTGGGAAGTGTGCTCAGAGTGTTCTATGAGGAGGGCCTGTCGACTCTTTCCCCTCCCTGAACAACATAGTCAGGAATCAGGATAGAGGAACCCATTTATGTAGGTCAAGTACACATTTCCCGAGGATATATTTACACTGCAAATATAACCTTGTTTTTTTTTTAAAGAAAAAAACTTTCTCCTTAAGGAGTCTCAGGAATCAGAGGTCTTTAAAGACAGCAGTAGGAAGCAAGATCCCCAGTTTTCAGTCTGTGGCTGTTACTTCAATAGCGGGCGTGACTAGTCTTGCAGCAATTGGCAGAAAAGATTTCTCTCTGCATGGAGAAGTTATCACCTGCCATTTTTTGCTGACCCAAGGGCTGTTAAAGCTACAGCTATAGAGTAGGGATGGAGAAATATGTAACCTTCCTGCTGTTACTGAACTGCAACTCCCATCAGCCTTAGCCAGCACAGCTGACAATGAAACACGATGTGAGTTGCTGTCCAAAAATTCTGGAGGGCCACACAGCCCCCATCCCTGGTATAGCAACCGCTTGAAAAGTTCACAAAGTTACCCAGCCCAGGGACCTGAAACTGCTAAATTCATTTTGTTTGGCTTTTATAGCACTGGGATATGTTCTTTCCTTGATTGGAATGATGTATTGATTCCCATTGATTGTATACTTTATTATGGTATTGATTGTAATTTGGTGTTTGTAAGGCATTGAATTTTGCAACTATTTCTGTGTAAACTGCTTTGAGTCCCCCTAGGGCTGAAAAAAGCGGTATATAAATACTGTAAATAAATAAACAAATAAATATATATATATATACCCTGATCTATGTTTCCTCAAATGTACATGTATTTCTGAGAAGCATATACGATGTGTATGCAAAAATGTGGTTGCCAGAAACATATTGTACCATGCATGTGTGCTACCTACTTACAAATTGTTGGTGTAGCTTTTAAAAAATATATATAGGATATTCTCCCTCATGGTTCCCTAGAAGAGTGAGAAAGATGGACCATACAAATGTGCAACTATACCCCTTTGTTATGTATTGATGTGCCACACTAGTGCACAAAAGTGTGTATGCATGTGCAGAATCTTGCACTCCACATGTGTGAATATATCCAACTCGTGTACATGCCAAGGCCTCAACTCTCCTGGTATATTTTGCTGAAGGTTGTCCCATGTGCTCTAGTGGAATCCATGGACAAAAGGTAAACCTGCCAATCTACAGTTTGGCAGGGAAGGGCTATAGAGCAGTGGTTCTCAACCTGTAGGTTTCCAGATGTTTTGGCCTTCAACTCCCAGAAATCCTAACAGCTGGTAAACTGGCTGGGATTTCTGGGAGTTGTACGCAAAACACCTGGGGACCAAGAGGTTGAGAACCACTATCATCTCTTCCTCTCCTCAAAGTAAATGAAATGTTAAAAGAAGTTCTATTGCAGAACAATGACTCAATCATGCATGTCATCCCTCCACTCAGCAACCTTCAATTTGGGAATCTGAGTTGGGGGAAAAATACTTTGGATTAATACTTTCAACAACACCTAGCCAGCCTGAGCTAGGAAAGTAACTTCCGCGAACTCTATCCTGTAGAGATGATGGTTTCTTTCATGGATGTCATTGCCCATAGCTTGACTACGATGCTTAATTATATAGTATATATCTCCAATTCTTCTCCCCATTAAAAAAAATTAGACCTTTCTTTCTTTTTTCCCATTTTCAACTCCTTTGAAACTCAAAATAGGGTACAAGTGGGAGGAAGGGAAAAAGGAAAATATTTTGCTTACCTCCTGAGGGCCCAGAATGTTTTGGGTGTGAATGGAATGAGTATGAGCAAGGTTTAGATCCTTAGAAATAATTTCCTGTCAAGAGGAAGTGAAAGGATGAGCAGAACTGTAGGGTGTGGAGGTTGTGAAAGACAACAACAAAGCTTGTTCTAGTGGCACCTTAAAGACTAGTTTGGGACAGACAAGAACCTACAATATCAGAACAACAATGTTTAAGGTATTGTCAAAGGCTTTCATGGCTGGAATCACTAGGTTGCTCGGAGTTTTCCAGGCTGTATGGCCATGTTCCAGAAGCGTTCTCTTCTGAAATTTCACCTGCATCTATGGCAGGCATCCTCAGAGACTGTGACCTCACAACTTCTGAGGATGCCTGCCATAGATGCAGGTGAAACACCAGGAGAGAATGCTTCTGGAATATGGCCATACAGCCCAGCTTGGAAAAAGTTACATTTTGGGACTACCGCTCAAATATTACTTTTTGGAAGCTGTAATCCAAAAAGTAAGATGTGCGTTTCCAGCATAGAGAGCCTGTAAAAGTTAATTTTTTGGATAACAACTATCAGCGGCCATGTTCCCTTTCACCAGGAAACCTATAGAAGCCTCTCTTAGAAAACTTCAATTGTGGAACGTCATGAAAATGAAATGCTATAAATAAATTTGATATGTATGTGTCCGGTGCTTATGTTTAAGTTTTTAAGGTGCCACGACAAGACTCTTTATTGGCTTTTTGCTGCAAAAGACTGACATGGCAATTCTTCCAGAATGTAGAAAGAATATGTTCTGGTGGTGCAAAAGGAGAACAAAGCAAGAATGAAATGAGAGCGGAGGGAGAAAGGGAGCTGATACAATAATACAAACTTCAATGTTGTCCCCACTGACTCTCCAGCCCCCTCTCCCATGCCCCCAACATTGAGCAGTTCAACATTTGGGAATTCAAAACATTTTGGCACAACAATTGCATGTGAAGGCAGGAAATACCACGGGGTTTCAGGCAGAATAAAGACCCTGGCATTTGAATGGGTGGGAGGGAAAGGTTCACCTTCTCCCACATTTACTATTCCTTCTTGAACTGTATGAATTTCCCCCACATAATTTCTTTTTGGAATGATAAAAAAACACTTGTTTAAAACTCTGAAATTCCTGAAAATTGATTTTTTTTAAGTTTGTGATAATTTTGGTCACCTACATTGAGAGGAAGTAAAAATAATTTCAAGTTTCAAGGCATCAAAATATAGTATTCTGTATTAAAGCTTCTGTTTAGGGTTTGAGTGTAAATAAATATATTTTTTTTCTAAAATCAAATTGCACATTTTCATGGTGTGTAAATTGTATTTTCATATTTTTCTTTTTGGCAGATTAAAAATAATTATAAAATATTATTTCCTTTTTGAACAGTTGGGCAATAGGGAGAAAAATACTTTGAAAACCATAAAGAAATATTTCTCTTACGTATTTTTCCCCCATCATCCCCTGCATTTTCGATGGTGCTCTTTGATCGGCCCCGTGGGAAATCCTTATGCCTCCATTACAGGACTTTTAAAAATGTTGCTGTGGCAACTAGAGGGGAAAAAGAGGGATTTATGAAAAAATAGCGTCACTTTCTAAACTTTATTATTATAATTATAATACATCTGCTTGAAAAAATAGCTCTGTGTCCCTCCCCCACCATCCCTGAGCCCACCCCCATTATCACCTTTTGGCAAACTTAAGGAGTCTTTTCCCCCATAGTACAGCACATCCTTGCACCAACCATAGGGCAAAATCCCATGTCCATCCCGCCCCCACTCCCAAGCTTTCCTGAGTCTAAAATCACCCGTCTTTCCTCTTTTCACTACTCTTGCTTCTAATTTCATACAATATCAGGGAGAAACACTGCTTAAAGTTTTTGAGTGCTGGAGTTTCTATTGGGCACTTGCTGTCTTTTTTCCTACTTCCCCTTTCTAAGGCCTAAGATCACCCCAAACACCTGCAAGAGGATGGGGCACCCAGTCCCCCATCCCTCCAGGATGAATGTGGGTTATTCCTGACAATATCCCCCCTCCCACAACCCAGATTGGGGATGCACCTAGAAACAGGTATCCAGCTTAGCAAAGGTGGGAGAGATGTCTTGTAGCAGATACGCTCAAGGTAATCACAAATATATTGCACCCAAATGCAAGGCTTCTTTGTGTGATGGGACCAAAGGATTTCATAAACATCAAACGTGCCCTTTCATCAGAACAGCTTGCATTTCTGGTTGAGTTTACTATTAGGGCAATATTTTCCACTGGGTTAAAAATTGAAAGTTTTGTCCAGTCTGCTTGGTGAAGAGAGAAGACTTGGTGTTTCCGTTTTATTTTAAAGCATTATATAAAGGTAGTCTAGACTTTCACTAAAAGATAACCTAGTTTGTGTCTTCAAGACTTAGATAGGATCCAATGTAGAGACTTAAAAGAGTAATTACAATAGTCATTTCGCAGCAAGCTTTATGCTTCAACCTTACAAGGACTGATTCTGGCTAACCCCATTTTGCTAATTTCCAACAGACCTCACAACCTCTGAGGATGCCTGCTGTAGATGAAGGTGAAATGTCATGAGAGAATGCTTCTGGAACATGGCCATATAGCCCAGAAAATTCACCTCTGGCTACAGTTTTTGAATGTGGTCTCAAGTAGACATTTGGCTTGGTGTATTAGTTCATCACCATATTTTCACAATTTTTTTTCTTTTCTTACAGTAACTTACGATTTACGCTGAGACAGACACAGTGCACACCCTTGTGCTCTACCTACCCTTTGACTAACAATGAGAAGCACTCTAAACTCACAGTGAATTTACAACTGCATCATACTCAGCAAAACATATGAATGTGCAAGGCTCTGGCTTACCTGTGCTGCAGAACAAGAGGATAACAAAGAATGGGGTGGCAGAATGGTCTGTGTTTGTTTAGTCAAGGTGTGCCATTTCTCATAGTTCCCTAAAGTAAAACAAATCCCTACAACAGATTAATAACACAGCTGGGATTGGATTGGTTTAGTAGATTTTTTGTGTGTACGTGAGAGAGAGAACCCACAATACTATCCCGTCTAACAGATGGACACTGACCGACCTAAAATTCTAGCATTGTTTGTCAGTATGCCAAAAAAGGTGAATAATATCACGCCCAAGTTCAGGAGTGTTTTGAGCCTTACCATGCTACCACTGCGATTTAGCTACAGAACTTGCTCCTCATCTACAACGCCATGCCTGGAAGTGTATTTTTCACCATGCAGATTGTTCTCATTGTATGCTTTCAAGTCATTTCAGACTTGCGCCAACCCTAAAGTGATCCTATCACAACTGTTTTCTCAACAGAATTTATTAGGATAAGTCATGCTGAGAGAGCATGACTTAACTAAGGTCACCCTATATTTTTTTCTATTGTCAAGTATGGATACAAACTCTAGTTTCCCAGCATCCTAGTTAGGAGCACCCAGTGGCACAGTGGGTTATACTCGTATGCCGGCAGGACTGCTGACCAAAAGGTCAGTGGTTCGAATCCAGGGAGCAGGGTGAGCTCCCATCTGTCAGCTCTAACTTTTCAAGTGGGAACACGAGAGAAGCCTGCCACAGGATGGTAAAACATCTGGCTCTCCCCTGGGCAACGTCCTTGCAGATGGCCAATTCTCGCACACCAGAAGCAACTTGCACTTTCTCAAGTTACTCCTGACATAAAAAAACAAAACAAAACACAAACTGGCTTTCCTATTGACTGGTGAAAAACAGCTCCTGAATATGTGTAGGTTGCCCACCACTTGCCTCAAAGTTGTGTTTTTCCCATAAGGGTTTTTAAATCAGTTATACATGTAAAGCAGAGGCTGGCTTACTTTCCAGAGCACTTTTAACACTCTGTGTGCACACATTCAAGTCTTGCTGAATTAGCCTTGCAATTGTACCTTTCCTGCTTGCTTGAGTACATATATTTGTGCTCAAATCACAAAGAAAAGAAGATGCTGTGGAGCTGTGTTTCCTGGAACTGAAAACAATTTATCAGTCTATATACACTGGCGAGCCCTTACAAAGCCTTGTGAGTAATCACACGGAAATAATGTTCAGCTGACAACTACTACAAACATACTTCTATATGTGCACACATTTGCATGCACAGACACACAAACCCAGTTAAATACTGGGATACACAACTGAAGCACTCACTGCTCTTTCAAGACACCATTATCCCCACAATCTTTGTTGAGCTGGACACTGTGAGCTAGGGATTGTGATACTACCCCATATTGATGTAAATCAACTCTAGGTTGATTTCTACCAATGCTCCTCCTGAACTCCTAGGGAATTCTGTAATAGTCTACATTAAGCTTGGATCAAAACCAATATGAAACAGAACATTCTTCAAATTTTCCAATATTCAACCCTCACATTTATGAGAGTATCATAAATATTGGCAATGGAAACAACATTCTTGGTCCCTTACAGGCTGAAAATGGGAAAATTAACATGGAATCATAGAATCACAAAGCTGGAAGAGACCACAAGGGCCATCCAGTCCCAAAATGGATTATTTTTAATCAATTATTTTATTCCTGAAAATTACAGGAAATGTGCTTCAGATCACCAGAGAGACTGAATCTGAATTACTTGACAGAGTCAAATAGGTCAACAATCTGAAAGATGTTATTGATAATTAATTTTGAAAGAAAAATTAGATCTCTATGGGAGCGATCAGTTCTATTTAGCAATTCCCCAAATTTCCTGTTGTTTTTTTAAAGGGTCGTTTTATTAATTTTCCCCAAGTCCTAGAACTATTTCTTAAAAAGACATTCTTGGTTTCATTTTTGGCAACTGAAATGGAAATAAACCATTGGCTAAAAATAACGTATTTTCTTTCCTTTCCTTTCTTTCTTTGGCAAGCCAACCCATATTGCACAACATTGATTGAGCAACCAAACATGTTCATATCGTAATAAAAGAAACCCAAGCAGTCTTAAAAGATAAACATTAATTTGTTGTCATGTAAAGTTCAAACCATTTCTCCATAAATTTCAAAAAAGAAAGATTTCTAATAATAGCACATGAAGGCAAAGCAACACTCAAGTTGCTATCATCATTTTTCATGGAAAAATTAGATTTCTTCATCTAGGCAGGGAAGAAAATATCCCTAAAGAAGAGCGAACAAAGGACATAGAAATCAAGTGACAATATTTCGAAGCAAAGTCGTGATACAGTTGAAAAGAGATGCACCAACTCAATCTCTGTATTCAGAGCCAGATTACATAGCCGCAAAAAGCATGTGGTATACCTCCCCTGGGACTGTACCTTTTCTGAATGCAGGCCATCCTAACTGTAACATTTCAGATTGTCGGACTGAATACACTTCACGTTTGAAAAGATCCCACCAATCTATGGAAAGCTACCATGTCAAGAGTTATACACTAACCTACCTGATATGCTAGTTTTCTCCAGGGATATGCTTTTTGATATTGCAGTGCATTTGTGTATGCAAACTATGTCCAAAAAAAAGGTTAACCCGCAAGTAATGTAACTCGCAGTCATGCTCATGCATATTACTAATGGAAGCTATCTACAGCCTGGAAAAAAAATCCAAGAATCTATTCTAATCCAATTTACAAAATTTCCCTGCCTGCTCTCCATGGGATAATTTTATCTATCCCAGGTGAGTGAGTGGCTATTTACAAGCCTGTGCAAACTTCCTCTCACAATCACAAGAAAGAAAAAAACCCTGCATTCGGAAGTAGTATAGTCCCCAGGAGTGGTACCACACAATTGCACCACACTGATACGTGTTGATCGGCTCTAACAAACCAACCAAATGAAGCTGTACAAAGGAAAGCGATCACAGCAGACACAGACAATGCTGAGAAAGGGAAATTGCCCATTAAACCCTGACAAATGGGTGGGAATGGGGGCAGGATTTAAAGTGCAGAATGGCAACACAGCAGAAGTCCCAAGATTACCTGGTCCCATGCCCTTCCTGCATATAACCTTTAAAGTGGGTGTGGGGAGCCATTCATAGGAAATTTGTATGGTCATCATGATGCGTAGAGGAGGCCAGTTGATGCGGAAATGCCTGTGGTTTAGCAAGCAGAGTGTCTTGTCTCTTGGCATTTTTGTTCTGGAGGGTCAAGACAAAACCAAAGGGCAAACGGGCATATTGACAGGGCACACACTTGAACAGTACAAAGCCCAATCTGTGTTTACATAGAATGAGCCCAGCCTGAAATCAGTTGGCCTTTTCCTCCAATAACTCCCCCCCAAAAATGTCGCCTTAGAAACGGCACACCTTCACTTGAATGCCTCCACACCCCCTACATCTCAGCTACACACCTGGACATTCAATTAATTTAACATGGGACTCTGTGTGTCCTTCAAAGAGAAATCTCAGTCAATATGACTGACTTAACAACTGCCCCCATTTTCCCAGCCCAGAAGTGGGTAGGAGGAGAATGCACCGCAACGGTTTGTTTTGTTTCAATATAGGAGCTTGCATGAATCAACCTCATCCCCAATTTCACTGGGGAAAGGGATCCCAATCACCCTTTTGAATCCAGCCAGCCATTTGTTTTGTTTTATTATTATTTTGCATAGGAATTGTTGCATAAAAAGCTTCTATCTTTTTGGGGAAGAGAGAGGTGGAGCTGAGGTTGGGATTCACAGAGGAGGAGTGGGAAATACATATATGCCTCCACTGAAATGGTGAAACACTTGCATAGTATGTGAGGCGGATGAGTTTCCACTAGGAGTAGCAGGGTATTAATGTGTGTTTTTTTGTTAAGTGTGCAGAAAACCTCTTACGGAAAGCAAAATGCTCAGTGAGGAATTTGGGTGGATGAGTGTGTTTTGGAATGAAACGGCAATAGCCTCATAGGCTATTGTATGTACATCCACGGAAGGAGCAATCCAAAACTCAGGATCCAAAATACCCAGATCCACGACTAAGACTGCCTCTGTCAAGATGCTCCTGTGTATGTGCATGCTTTCTTTCGAGTTCAAAAAGAAGGAAAAGCAAAAGAATAAGATATATCAGGGTCAAATTCAGTTTCTTGATGGGTAAAAACTGAAGACAACGTAGAAGCAAAACATCTATATGGAATCTTTATATCTTCCTTCTATATGGATACATTGGTGTAACAGATATTGAGTTAGGAAGATACCACAAGCCAGCACAGTCACTGACCAGGATGATGGAAGTATTCTGGATGTTGTGGTACAAAAATAAAATTTCCAATCTCTGGACAGAATTTTATAGCAGGTCTCTTTAAGAGATGCAAGTCAGCAGTATCCCTTCTTTAAAGTGATTTATTTATTTGTTTATTTATTTTATTTGAAGTGATTATCACTGTGATCCAGGAGTGTAGGATTTTTAGATTTAAAATTCATTGGGATCCATGGTTATTTGAATCCCAACCTTAGTAAAATGTTCTGACATCTCATTCATACTGTGGTTTTACTATTCCAGACAGCAGGAGGCACATAAACAAATGAATGACCATCTGTTAAGAACAATTCTGTTGTTGAGAGACAACATTGTGTCTCTGCAGAATGGAGGGGAAGTCGGAAGAACACTGGATGTGCTTTCCTGATCTTTCGTTTGCAGCCAGTCTTTGAAGCTGCAAGACCATTCAATGCTAATCAAAGTGGCCAATTGCAACATTAACACCTGCTTCCAGCAGACAAGAGTTCTTTTTCCCATCCTGGACAGTCCACAGGTATATAAACCTCACTTGCATAGTTTCCAACAGTCCTCACAACCTCTGGGATATCTGAGAATGCTTCTGGAACACTGCCTCACAGCCTGGAAAACTCACAGCAACCCAGTGATTCCGGCCATGAAAGCCTTCAACAACACTTTAAAATCTTTACACAGAGAAAACTAGTTTGTCAAGGAAATTGATTCACTAGAACCCTTCTCCTGCTAGCTTTTTATGCCAAGGAGACTTTGACATCTTTAAAAGTATATCAGAAAAGCTGCCAGCACCAGCCTGAAATGATAAGATGTGTTTATAACCTCAACAAAACTAAGTTTTACATGGCTACTGTTGGAATTTGCTAGTATTGCGGCAACAAGCCCCCTATGAAATTTAAAAATAATATTGTGCAACTGGAACTATTTCAAGTCTTATGTCAGATTGTGAAGCCAATCATACATAGTTGAAATTGAGGTAGCATGTTTAGCAATACTAGAATATTCCATTTCTTTAAATCCTGGGGCCATAAAATGAGGCTGTAATCCCGATTTGAAATACTTTTATGTAGAGTATAATGTCATGGATTTTCAACAGAATGTCCATCTTTTCTGGACAAGAGACCCATTATTTTATATGTAAACTAAAAAAGATAAAACAGATTATCCATAATGAATTCAGCCACTTGAGGCTAGCATATAATGAATGTAATAAAATCAACAAAACCCCAAATGATGAGACCAGTTTCACAATGAACATTAACATCAACAAACATCAATGTTATCCTGTCATTTGCCCAGAATTTTTTTCACAAACTTCCTGGAAAATAGAAACTGGATTACTGTATACATGGATGCGTGTAACATTTAAGATGTCATTTGTTGAGATGGTAACATAGTGCTTGCATCTAATAGTGGTTTGATCTATCTTTTTGCTATGGAGGTTCTTGGAACTGATTTTGGTCTGATTGGATTTACTCAGTGGCAAATCAAAAACCCAAAGGCTAGTAGGAAGATTCTGGGATCTGAAGTCTAAAACTGCTGATCAATTGTTGTTGATTGTTAGGAGTGCAAGCATTCACAAAATCCATCCTTGTCTGCAAGGACAGAGGGTTTTTTTAAGAGGTGGGAGAAAGCTGCCTAGTACTACATGAGCTCAATATGGGCTCGTGGTTTTCACTGCTACAAAGCCTGTGCATTTCGTTTGGGTTTCTTCACATGTGGCTTTGAACCTTTGCATCAGAACCCGTGACATTTAGAAGCCTACAAACAGTGGGAAGAAAAAACACAGGCCGTGGAGGTCGACAGCACTGGAACAGAACACAAAAGAATTCAAAACCACAATAACACTCTACGTCAGGCATGGGCAAACTTTGGCCCTCCAGGTGTTTTGGACTTCAACTCCCACAATTCCAAACAGCATGCCCGTTATTAGGAATTGTGGGAGTTGAAGTCCAAAACACCTGGAGGGTCCAAGTTGGCCCATGCCTGCTCTATGTGCTGTAACATTTACAAAATATTTAAAGGAGGGTGTATGCAGGGGGAGAACCACAATGAATAAACACAATACTTAAGAATGTGCCTGAGGACTTTCTAGCATCACTACTCTTATCATAACGTTAACAATCTCACCAGACTTCTCAAAATGATTTCTTTCATCCTAGAAACACTGGTGAGTGCTCTACAGAAAGCTGAGTGGGGTCTTCAAGGATTTCCTTTGGCATTGTCTGCCATTTGACTTTGAGTAGGCATATAGTGTGTACATAAGAACCTCACAAAGTTTCAGAGAACAGGCCATGCAACTGTAGTTAAGTGTGATGCTTAAATAACAAAATCAGTCCTAGAAGGCTGTCTGTGAATGTCCTAGAGTTCAGTTTTTATGGATGCCCTTCAGTATGGTATATCTAAATCTAAATGCAGTCTTTGACTCTGCCACTCTTTTCTCCATAATCCTTCCCTCCTTTCATTATCAATTGCTTGAATGGCCCTCATTTTATACAAAAGTTGCTATTATATTAGTAGAAGGCTAACATGGCCTTCATGGGTGCTGATGTAGATCTGGCAAAAGCAAAACCAGACACTTTGAGAAATAAGCTTGAGTCAAATATATATTCTAAGGCAGTGGTTCTCAACCTTTGGGTCCCCAGATGTTTTGGTCTTCAACTCCCAGAAATCCTAACTGGCTGGGATTTCTGAGAGTTGTTGGCCAATACACCTGGGACCTACAGATTGAGAACCACTGTTCTAAGGAGCCCTACATAATGCCCTACTCGAGAGCCAACAATGGCGCCATGGAAATGACATACAGTTAATGATGCTGGTGAGTTTAGTAATATGGTCTTAAAGGTCAGGCTTTCAATGGACATAACCAGCTCTGCGCTCCGTAATACTAAGAAGCCAATCAGATGCTGATGCTGATGTGATGTGTTAGCTATGTTCACAGACTTTACAATATAAATATTTACAGGGACTGAAATTGTTTAAGGATTGCTCAACCAATGCTAACCAATTGCCACCTTGTATAACTTGCTTTTGCACTAACCTGACTATTGTGTGACAGTCCCCAAGGATAAGTATGTTCTCCCTGCATACACACAAAGCCAATCAGCAATAGGACCAACATTTCACTACAGGCTAACTATTGCTTCAGTTGCTTATGAAATATGGTGCTAAAGAACTATTTTTAAAGACTTCCTACCAGACCAGCAATATAGCTCAAGACACAATGCTTGCTTGCTTCATTTCCCAACATGACACATAAGATATATTTTCTGCCAAAGGACATTTAGCATTAGCTCAGTCTAATCCCAGATCTGATTCAGTAAACTATAGAGATTTTAAGAATTCCTTCCTAAAACTGTAAGGACCAGCATGCTTCCAGGTATTCACTCTTGTTCCCAAGCCTCCTACAAAATGTGTTTTTCTTTTCTGAAAGCTTGGATAAGTGGAAATGTTCAAACTTGTACTACCTTTTTAAAAATAGCAGTCTAAATGGCACATTCATTTCCCCCTTTGCAAGTGCTAAGAAAATGCCCCTCTTTTTTATTGGAAGCTGAAGTATTGAGGAACTGGAAATCTCCAGTGAAGAGAAAACTGACAAAGGCGATATGCTATTTTGTGTTTTATACCTCTCTGATGAAACAAAATTCCTAGGCTGAAAGACTTCATCTAGAGATAATGCCTTTGTGTACAAGGATAGCAATACAGTACCTCTGATATACTATTTCCAGCTTTTTCTACTCTATTGACGCAACTCTCTGAATAACATAACCTCAACTACATTGTGTTGTTAGATATGCCTCCTTTGCTGTTCTTTTTCCCCCTAGAGATTACTAAATAAGTCAGTGGTATGCACTCTATTTTCCTCCCTTTGCATTTTTTCAAATTTTATAAGCCTTTTATTCAAAACGAGAGGCTGGTGGATTCTGCCTTAGGGCAGAGAATTCTCCCTGCCAACAATTTATAGCCATCCATCACCCGACACCCAGGGAAGGAAAAAAGCCCTTTAGGATACATCAAGCTCCTATCATGTGCGGTGCTTCTTACCCCCTTTTGGGATGGGAATAGGTCAGGGGAGGGGGCACTGGCTAAACTGGGTGATTTGTTGTTGTTGTTGTTATTACAGGGGATTGCAAGTTCTGAAGGAAAATATACCTCTTTTTTCCTTGTTGATTTTTTTTGTCTTTTTTCCCTTTTGTTTTTTGCATATAGCATTAAATATTGTCGCTTACAGTATCACATGCAAATACATGCTGGCTTGAAAAATGCAGACTCTAAATAGTTTAGCTTGGCAGCACTATTCCTTGCACTTTTGTTTTGTTTCGGCAGCATCGCTTTGAAAAAAAAAAAGGACGTGTCCCATGCTCAGCTGCTCGATAGCATGTCCCGTATTCTGCTGTTCCAGGAGAAGCTTAGCGGAGATATCGTTCCCCACGTGATCGCCGACAAAAGTTCTGTTCCTGTTATTGTTACATATATTATTATTATTTTCTGCTGAAAAATAGATTTATTTATTTATTTCCTGCGTTTCATTTGTTGATGATATATAGTTGAGTCTCTTTGTTTCTACCCCTTCTTTTTTTCCTATTTATTATTTATTTATGCGACCAGATCAAAAGCCAAGCCATCCCAACTTCGGATGGAAACAGGAGAAAAAAAATCACAGTGAAAGCACCCAGCTCAAAGAGGGATGCTCCATTGTCGTTTTTCTGTCGTGAGCAGAAAAAGAACAAAAAGGAACGAAACAGAAGAAAGGTCACAAGGAGGAGGTGGAGGAAGGAGGCTGTGTCTCTAAGGTTTCTCCTTCAGGCTCCATCGAATGCTGGAATTCCTGCTCTCCCTCCCTCAACCCTACACACACTGGTCTCTGTGCCTACCCTCAGCTCTTTCATCTGTAGGAACTGGATTGTTCTTAGAATATCTACATTGTAGGAAAGTCGTTATCATGCATCCAGGCAGAAGGGAGCGCTTGACCTTATTGCTTATGATTGATGGAAGATCCATGCACAAAACAGAAGAACAATTCTAAGGAGAGATAGAAGGTCCAAGGCAGGTGGATAGGGTGGCTTTCCCCAGAGAGACCGTGGAGTGTCCATGTGTTCAAAGAACCAGAATCACTCTTTATGCAAATCAGGAGAGTAAGAGAGAGAGATACAGACAATGTGGATGGATGGCTACAGGGTAGAGGATGGATATTCTTACGGAGGAAGGTTGGCAAGAAAACTGATCAGAGATAGGCCAGAGAGATGAATCAACCAAACGCAGATTATAGAGTATAGACAAGGAGAGAGACACGTGATGGGGGAAATAAAGGATCACTAAGCTCTATGGCTCGTTACAGTCCTGAGTAAGATGATGAGACAAGGAGCGTAAAATGGAAAGAGATAAAGCACAAAGCCAGGGTTAGAGAAATACAGCGTAGTCTGGTGAGGCCAAAGAGGAGGAGAAATGCAGGCAACCTAGCCAAGGAGGGCCTTGGGGACCTTTCCCAAAGTGTCTTCTCTCATTGACCTCCCCCTCTTGCTCTCTGAAGTATTTGGATTTTCTGAGCAAGCCAGTCTTCCAACTTACTCTCCCCTTCCCTGCTTCTTTCAGCTGTTAAGCCACACTGCAGACTCCACACTCAGAGCCACGGGGACAGAAGGCTTCAAGATTCTCATGGACACTCCTAAAAGTGCAAACTTTAGTGCAACACCACCTATGAGATGCCTGCTGCATTCCAACGTCTCAAGTGCATTCGGCTGCAATTTTTTTTGTTTGTTTTCTTGTTCCCTTTGCTTTTTAATATTTTTTGGCATTACCTTATTTTTTTTTCTTTTTCTTCTAGGAGGTTTTTTTTTTTAAAAAAAGAAACAAACATACAAGCTAACCCCAAGCATCCCTGGTGTGTCTCTACAGGATGGAAGGGATGGGCGAGCGAGGGCGTCGGACGGAACCAGGCGAGCCGAAGGGAGTGGGCACTGGAGACGGGCGCAGTCCAGCAATGCTGTTCAGGCTGTGGGACTTCTCATAGCCTGAGGGGAGCGCTGTGGGAAAGGAGGGAAAGAGATGAAAGCTGTAAATTAAGGAAGAGGAGAAACGTCCATGAAGAATTTGTCAGTCACCAAGGATTTAAAAGCAGGGCCTTCCTCAGCCATCACAGTAGCATGAAATTAGGAATGTTTCAACTACAACTTCCAGAAACCCCATGCCAGCATGCTAGTGGCGGAATTCTGGGAACTGTAATACGAAAACAAAATTTTAAAGCCCTGGCAGCATGTTAAAAGGAATAAACTTCTCTCTCTCTCTCTCTCTCTCTCTCTCTCTCTATATATATATATATATAACATTGACTCAGCTATGCTTATATATCTAGTTCTTATTGACTACACTGAGGCATTCACTGATGTCTTCATAAACCATAATGCATGATGCTGTGGATGGAGCCCCCGTGGCTCAATGGGTTAAACCCTTGTGGTGGCAGGACTTAACACCAACAGGGTGGAGGTTTGAATCTGGGGAGAGTACGGATGAGCTCCCTCTGTCAGCTCCAGTTCTCCATGCGGGGACATAAGAGAAACCTCGCACAAGAATGGTAAAACGTTTTTTAAAACCCACAAAAAAGCCCAAAAAAACACACACACAACCATCCAGACTTGCGGACGGCCAATTCTCGCACACCAGGGGCGACTTGCAGTTTCTCAAGTTGCTCCTGACACGGAAAAAAATGCTATAGATTATTTTAAGGTCCTGAGCTCCCCTTTGTTTTCCTAGGGAAGGGATGGGGCACATCTTTTACATCAAAGGTGTGTCCTTCAGGGGTCAAATTTGTTTTGCTTCAAAGGCCCCTTCCACACAGCTGAATGAAACCCCACATTATCTGTTTTGCACTGGAATATATGGCAGTGTGGACTCAGATATCCCAATTCAAAGCAGATATTGTGAGATTTTCTGCCTTGATATTCTAGGTTATATGGCTGTGTGAAAGGACCCAAAATGACCGCTAATGTGGAAAGCATTTCCATCATTATGCAGCCACTCAGGGGAAAAAGAAATTTTTTTGCATTAGCCACCCCCTCTTTTGTCCCAAATTGCCCTTTGAGGGTTTGGGGGACATTTTCACAATATTTTGGGGCCGAGAAGTCTTTTTTGAAAAAAGACAATAACAGGACATTCCTTCTACTCAATTCTTGCCACTATTAAAATGTATCTTCTGGATCTAAAATGCCCCAGGAGTGCAAATTTACCATACATTATATTGTACTGTATTTTGTGAATTGTTAGGCATCGAATTGTGCCTTTTTGTAAGCCGCCCTGAGTCCCCCCCTAGGGGGTTGAGAAGGGTGGGGTAGAAGCACTCCAAATAAATACATACATACATACATAGAAAAAAGGGGGTTTCTTTGCAGAGGAGCGTGTGGTGGAGATTGCAGCTCTCCAATGTACCTGACAGAAGCAATGAACCCCCCTAGTCTTCCACAGTTGCCCAGCCTTTCCCTACAATGTTCCAGATTCAAGGTAATTTCCTGTCCGAAAATTGGACAGTTCCTTTGAGTAAGTACAGGTCATGAATAGGGATAGATCATGGATATGGACCCCCCGGTGGCACAATGGATTAAACCCTTGTGCCAGCAGGACTGAAGACCAACAACTTGGCGGTTCGAATCCGGGGAGAGTGCGGATGAGCTCCCTCTCTCAGCTCCAGCTCCCCATGCAGGGACATGAGAGAAGCCTCCCACAATGATGGCTTGTGATTTATGAGGCCACCAGAAAATGTTTCAATATAGCCGCTGTCTATTCTTATTGGCGGCAGATCTCTAAGCTTTTAGGCAAAAAAGGAAATGGTCATCCAGTTTCTCTTCTAACCCATGAGATTCCAGGAAATTAATTTAGTACTAGAGCCACTGCCAATATACAGCTTGCATATGCATTTGTACCTAAATAGACTTTTATTCTTTTTTTCCTTACCCCCCTCCCAAATGCAAATTACACCAATTCATTGTGGTCACTTAGAATTTTGACCTTATTTGTTATTTTCTAGCCACCAGACAATTGGGGATTGCCCCATTTACTAGGACCAACTATAGTTCCAAAATAGTATACAACTTTTCAGGTTCTCCGGAACTCTTCATCAGTCTGGCCAGTTAAAAAATATGGAAAGGGTTATTTTCCTTCTATCCCGGGAAGCATTGCCAGGTGAAATCTGCACAATGTGAGTTATCAAACCTGAAAATGCTTCATCTAGCCAAATTTTTGAGCAACTGCAGCATGTTTTGGGGACCACATCTGTGCCCCAGAACTCTCTGGAGATCTTATGGTCGACCTAAAAATAAAACGACGAAAAGAGGTTCACTTTTGGTTCTTGAAAAGAGCTATTTTTGTTCAACAGCTCAGGGAGGCCTTGAAACCTATTTATAAAGTAAAGTGTTGCACCTGGAGGCTTCTCAAAGGAGAAATTCATCCTCTCTTTTTGGGAGCAGAAAAAGCAAAGTCTGAGTATTCTGGAAGGGTTGAGAACTGGAAACCAGAAAAAAAAAATCATGGGGAGAGCATGCAACTCCAAGGCTATACTTTATTCAAACCCAATAAGACTGATGATGGGTTCTGGAGAACTAGAACATACATTACTATGGAATTATAGCATTGTTTGACTGTGGATTTTGGCTAACAGCTTAAAAAGTGAGAGCTGTTATTTGAAATTGCACTCAGGGCACACCAAAACATGACATTAAATGCCATGCTGCATATCAGAAGACAGGGTTGGAGCGGAAAATTTGGTCTTTTGTTGCCCTGCTGTGATCCTGAGGAAAATCCCGCCAATGAAGGTGGTATTTGTATGGTGAGGAAATTCCCTACTGATGCAAAGGCCCACCCCCCACCCCCACCCTCACCCCCACCCTCTAGCACCTTTCTCACCTCTCTCCCTCATTTACCTAGAATTGGGTGGTCCTTACTACCACCCTTCACATGCTCACGCACATGTGTCCGCATAGCTAGGCATGCAATGCAAGCAAAAACATACATGTCATGCTTGCCCCTCTTTTATGACAGGCCAGATGAGGAGACATGTTGGACTTGAGCATGTTATGACCTGTTAACAGAGGTGTTTACTAGATCATGTGTGCATAAGAAACAATGCGTGTGCTGAAAAGTGCCCCAGTGGCATTGCATGTGGCACTGATGGGCAGAAGAACCTCACTGCCTGTGATGAAGTCACAGAAGCTTTTGGGGCAAAGGGGACTGTGTATTGAAATGCACACAACAAAATCCATCGTTATGGGAAAGTGGGGTATTAGTCTTTAAAATAAATACATAAAGGAATACTTACATGTCACTGAGGTATATCAGAGCAAACTGTCATAGAGGATACCTCGCAGCTGAATAACATAATCACATATGTAGGCATGGGGTTATCAGCCAGAAGATACTGTGTATTGGTAACATGAACGACGTATTAAAGTTACTGGAAAAGCATGGTGTTAGAATACATTGCCAATTGTACTAGTGGATAAAAATGTTTACTTGAACCTTTGTGCAGTAATATTATGCATATACTCAGTATATAAAACAACATCCATATATGTTGCATATTAGGCATGTGACTTACACATATGCCATAGTCTATATGGAGATGACTCTCAATCTGTAAGTGACATGTGCTGCTAGTATGTGAGAGATCAATGCCATTATGTGGTAGACTGAAATATTATGCAGGCTCGTTATAAATAGTGCATACGCATATGTAGACAAATAGACAGCACAAAATAGAATGTGTTGTACAACATGATTTACGTGGTGTGACATGTCTGCAGTATTTCAAACATATGTGTTGTATATTTCTGAAGAGAATGTTGTAGGTTGGGGTTGAATAACTTCAAGTATTTTGACCCAGCATGCATGTGGAAAGTATGACACCAGATGTGCTAGCATGCTCTTTGCCAGCTCATTTGGCATACATCCTGTAATGTAATGTTGTAATGTTATGGATATAGGTTACAAGGCGTCACATGTGCTCTGCACATAGCATGCTTATTAGATTAGCATGTTACTGAATGTTTGTAGTATGTAACACAAACAGAGACATTTCAGACTAGAGTATCACATTACACCCATAGGCAAAGCCCATTTTCTCAGCTGTAGAAACCTTCTGCATTATCTCTCAAAGACAATGGCAGTCAAGGCATACCTCTTCCAATGAAGGAGCTGCTCCACCCTAAAGATACCACAACTTTGCAGGACTACCCAAAGGCTCCCTGTATGAGCAGGTGCCTTTAACTGAATGCAATAGAGAAAATGGACTTTATCTACATGGTGTGTGATGCCCTGCAGCCTCCTTCCCATCTGCTTGGCAGATCCCACCACAGTACCAAGAGCAATGACACACTGAGTTTGGATTGAAAGCATTGTGCAGGGCTGACCTGCCTCCGAGGGGCGCTGGAGTTCACATGCCCAGCCAGTCTCAGGCGGTAATCAGAGCTGGGGACAAAGAAAGACACGGAGATCTGATCACACCGCGCTGGAAATGCTAAGCAGGAGAGCTTGTGCAAGCAGCATGGAGGAAAGTTCATATCTATTGTGTGTACAAGAATGGTGACTAGGGCTGGATCTAAACTGCCATATAATGTGGTTTGGAACTGCATTATATGGTCAGTATAGAGTAGACCCATATCATGCAGTTCTGCTGCATTATATGGGTCTGCACTGATGATATAATGAAATTCCAAACTGCATTATATGACAGTGTAGATCCAGCCTGGGTTTACAAGGAACTGATCCTCATGTACCCCCTTTTACACACAACAAGGGGGGAAGGAAATGCAGCACGTGCAAACTGCACATTCTCAGTGCTAGCCAGCACACATTTGAACTGGACAAGCAGCACGTGCACAAGGAAAAAGAATACATTTCAAGGATCGTTTCACCTCTATCTGATTTCCTACAGAGCAGTATTTGGGTGAAGCGATTGTCAAGAGGCAAATAGCATCTCTCTTCTATGTGCATGTGCAAGTCTTTTTAACTATTTGCCACCAAGCAGCAGGTCGCAAAT